GGAAAATTTGCTTCTATAATTATTATTCGCAGTTCATTATGATTGTCTTTTCAAATAATGAAATATGTGTATAACAGTTTATGACTAAAATCTATTGTTTAATTACCATCGAATTTAAGAATCAAAATCTTATTAGCGCATACGTATCAATATTAAAATTGAAATTTTTCACTTAAAATTAAACTATAAGTACAAATCTCAATCAGCTAAATTGCAGTGCTACAATTACACATTGATTTTCCTATACAAAACAAAGTACCAACAAATTAATACCATCTATATAGATGGTATTTCAGATCATAACCTCTTTTAAAGTGTAACCTGTAATTTTATTTTTTCAAAGACATAAACTAAACAATTAAATTAGTCATATCATTCAACACAATTTACTTCGATAAAGTCAATATTAAACTTTCAATTTCATTTACGAGTACATATACTTAGCTACTTCTCATTCATATTATTTAATAAAAGAATTTTAGTTATTTTTTTTTTGTTTTGACTTTTGATCCTTTCAAATCATTTGATGAAAACTAACTACTTCAATAAAATTAAAGAGTTTAATAAACAACAGACAAAATATAAATTTTAACATAAAAAAAAATTTAATAAAATAAATATGTTTATTTGAATAAAAGTTAAGAATAATAACAAGAAATTTCATATATGTAGGTTGTTCAAACAATTATAGGTGTACGATGATATTTGTAATCACAAAAATTTACTCAAGAGTGCAAAACAAAACTATGAGTATAGGTAAAGTAACTAAGAGTTGCAAACGATATTGTTATTTACAAGATTGATGAAAAAAATCAAACACGTATATTTTTTTTAAGTGGCATAATATTATCAAAGTTAAAAAAAGTTCAATTTGACGTCTAAAACTTAACCCGCTTAATATAGTCTATATACAAATTGACGACTATACTTCGCCTGAATGCCTTTTAGGTGAATGAACCCATACTTATATTATTTTCTTGGCTTTGAATTTTTTATTAAAGACTAGAAAACCCTGACTTAACCGTAGTTAAACCACCCAAAATATTAATAAACTTTGTTGTTCACTATATCAAGTTTTATTTAAGGCTATAAGTAAAACTGAAGGCCATTAGAAACCATAAGCTCATATCATACTGGTACAGAACTGTAAATAATATTGTTTTAAATTTTTATACTAATAAGATTTAGATTTTTAAATATATTATTTTAGATTTTTAAACATAAATCTTTATATGTATGTATATACTTTTTTTTTCTTATTCTTCCACTTTATAAATTCAATTGGTATCGAAAATTTAATTGACTGTAACAAAAAAAAAAAACAACAAAAAAACTGTATGAATCAATGCTGAATCAATTAAGATCAATTAAATACTAATATGAATGTGCGCACATACACCCATGTGTACATTATTTCTTAATGAAATATCATAATACGTATTATGTAAACACGCTTTATAAAAATTTCTGTGATTACAAGGGAAAAATATATAAATCGCGCTTATTGTTTCTTAATTTGATTTTAGTTCTGAATTTTATAAAGTAAAATATATAACAGGAATTAAATTTTGGTTAATGCCGCAGTTAGATCCGAAATTATATATCGGGATGGGCTCCAATTTGGAATAGTTCAATTTTTTTTTTAATGTAAAATCTTAACTTCGAATTGAATTCATTCGAAGCAAGACTTTTAATCTTGGCATGTTTTCCAATAAAACCACAGAATTTTGAAAAATATATTGGAAATCCTAAATGTATTGGTAATGATTTTGATGACGTTCTTTAATATCTGTACATATGCATGTATATGAAAATATTTTAAACAACGTGGCGTATTGAAAATTTTATGTAATTTAAAGTAAATTAAAATAAATTTAAAATCAAAGCCGAATGAATCTATGTATGTATGTACATTATATACATTGTTATTTTGTATTGTGATGTTTCATATTAATAATATGAAATTTATTTATTTCAATCGAAAATTTATCACTTATTTGGTTTAGATTTACACCGGTTCGCCAGATTAAAAGCAAGTAAATGGTTATGTAAGGTTTTAAATATTTGAGTATGCACTGTATATAATGTATGTAGATATTTATACACAGAAGAAAACAAGACATTTCTAATTAAGACGAAAATGAACAATTAAATTGTGATATTACATATTTTTTAATATAACTGGAACTACTACTCTAAAAGGGTTTACGCATTAAAACAAATTAAAAGTAGAACTTCATTACAAATAACCATATATGTATGTCCTTCATTCGTATGTATATGTATATAGATACCTACATATTCTTACAGAAAAATTTGATTTTTCGTGGCGGATTATCGAAGCGGTTGACGTCATCTTACAAAACTCAGACAATATATTTATTCCAACAGGATTTCCAACAGGATTATTAAAAACCAATCTTTATTTTTGCATCGGTAAGAACTACAATATGCATGTTTCATAATTATGGGTTTCTTATATTGCTGCCACAGGAATATACTACAAAATCTTTCGTTGGCCTTTTATTTGATAACTATGTACGAAAATGACGTATGTATGTATGTTATTTAGAAATTATGAGACAAAGCTAGAAAATTAAAATAAGAACACTAAAACCCTCAAAACAAATACAATTATCACGTGTTTTATAGATTATAACGGATTATAACAGAACTTTGCTCCTAGAAAATCAATTAAAGAACAAAAAAATGGAAACGAATAAAAAATATAAAATTTTTGTCTCTTTTGTATTTCACTTACGAATAAAATAAATTGTCGCGTTTTTATTCACCCATAAATTAAGTATGTTAAAATTTTACATACCTACATTTATACATACATATATGTACATACCGTCTATACAACAGTACATATGTATGTATAAGAACATTTTTTCGGGGAAACTACATATTTTGAATTTTATTCTTATTTTGAAACTGAACAATTAATTTAATCTATCTATGAAAACCAAAAAAAAATAAGAAAAGAGGAATTCTTTTGTTATTAAAACACAAAATTTTATTGTTTTCTTTAAGTTAATTTCTTCTTTAATTTAAAAAACAAATACTTACTTATATACATATATGCATACATACATGCATTTTATATACACTCTGATGTACTTTTAATATAATTTTTTTTTTCTTTTTCGTTTTGTTTTAAGTTCATATTTTGAGGTCATTCTGACGCCATTTAAATTGGATTGATTGAGTGAATAATAATTTATTTAAAAAAAAAATTTTATTTGTTCTGCTTGTTTTTTTTTTTGTTCCTTAATGAAAATGAAACAATATATACGCAAACAAAAATATTATTGCCATTTTTTGAAATGACGGAAGAAAATTTAATTGAACCTCAAATTAACGTGTTTTTCATTTTCTATTTAAAAAAAAAAGTGTTCCCTGCTTCTATACCCTATCTATAATTAAAAGTATGGAACATTTTATGTTTTTAATTTTATCTAGTTTTACATATTAAATAATTGAATTTTTAATAGTTAGTACGTACATAGTAAGGCGCTTTATTACTCTTCCAATTATTCTGTATTTTTCTTGTTTTTTTTTTGTTTTAGTGAAATTTAAATATTGTACGTAAATACATTCCTTTTATTCTAATGCATATTAATTAATATGAAATGCGGTATTATGAAAACAAAAGAAAAAAATGTAAAGAAAAAATTATAAAATTCAAAAAATAATATACAAATTATATCATTGATATTGCGTACATTTGTATATGTAAAATGTAATTACGTACAGTTATGTACAATTACTCGAATTTTATAATATTCATAACAGCACAAAAATAATGGAATTTTAATACCGCGTCAGTAATTTGCAGTATGAAACACGTTGTTACAATAGACGAGTATAGATTTATTATTATATAATCTGGTCAATGAAAATTTGTAGCAGCGATATTTGGCTTCAAACTGATTTTAAAGTATTACCTATAACACGCCTGTTATCATTCATCTATAATTTTTGAAAGTTTGAGCAACTTCCATGTCCTTGGTTCGCCTCTTATGTTTTAATAGTTTATTCGAATTTATACAGTATTTTTTATTGATGATAATTTCTACAATATTTTTCATTATAAATTATTTAGACGATATTTTTAAAATATTAATCCAATCAAAATATTTCTTATATAGATATACATAGATAAATAATATTTCAAATTGTGTACATTTACGGTAAAAAAAAAGGTTTGTTTAGTTGGTATAATAATTGTGAAGTGAATGCTATTATTATTCATTTAAATTAGTAAAAAGCAAAATTATAAAATCTACATTCCAAAAATACATTTTTCTTTCCTTAAATTGTAAGTCTTAATTTTTGAAAATTGTTTGTTTATCATCTAGATTTCGTATATTCTTTAATGAAGAGAAAAAAAATTGAAGTGGGATTTCGGAAGATGAGGTGGAATTTTTTTTCTCTTGCCATTGTTGAAAATTTTTTTCTTTATCACAATTTCTAACAATTTTAGTTTATAGTATTCTAATATAGCAAAAAAATTCCAAATTTTAACTGAAGGTATATGAATCACAAATCGCTTTTAACAAATACATACATTGTTTCATAGTATGTACTATTAAAAATATAAAAGGTATGTCTTAAATGGTATTTTATTTTCTTTTTTATCAGTTATATTATGTTAATCCAACAATGCAATTTAAAATTAGTAATATCTTAGATATGATATTTTAATAGCAACAAAAAAAAAGCCAATTAAAGTATATTTAAAAATATTTTCTCTATTACTTTCTATTAGTACTGCAAACTAACACTTATACTAACACTACTACTAACACTAATAATATTTATTCTATAAAATCGAACTTTCAACAAATCTGTATACAAATTATGTAATTTGTGTACGAAAAATTAATTTATTTGTATATACCAAAACTAATTCTATATATTTTGTATAATTATGTAGATTTTTATTAACTATATATAAATAAGTTAATTGTTGTAATTATGTTTTACATTTAAAGATGCTTGTGGGTTGTCAGATGTTACGCATATAGAATCATTACAAGAAAAATCACAATGCGCTCTCGAAGAATACTGCCGAACACAATATCCTAATCAACCAACAAGATTTGGAAAATTATTATTGAGACTGCCATCATTGAGAACAGTTTCATCACAAGTAAGTTTCTTGTAATAATTTATAGCTTAGATACTTAAAATCTTAAAAAAAACATGCCAGCTTCTTAAATCTATCCTCTGTAATTGTTATAAATTAGTTTTTTTTGCAATTTGCAATATAATTGAAATTCATGCTGGTATATGCTTACCTATATTAAACCTAAAAACCATACCTCTCAATTTCAAAACAGTAATTTCATAGTTACTCGTTTCCTAATTTATTTTTAAATACTTTGCTTAACTTTTAATTTTAATTTCATATTTTTATATAATATTATTACAGGTCATAGAGCAATTATTTTTTGTACGTCTAGTCGGTAAAACACCAATTGAAACATTGATACGTGATATGCTATTATCCGGTAACAGTTTTTCATGGCCTTATTTACCGTCAATGTGACATACAATGTGGCGGCAATTAACAACAACATGATCATCAGCAATGATGGGATCAACAATGGGGATCTCATCTTTGTCCAATTGTTATACTACAAATAATTTTCATAATACAAATAATAATAATCATCCTCATCATCATAATAATAATAATAATAACAGTCTTGCCAACCAAATGAATAATAATTTATTATCACATCATATAAATAATAATAACAGCAATCATAACAGTCATCATAACAATAATCATCATTTATTACATAATAATAATAGTAATAATAGTAATTGTGATGTTACAATGTTAAATAATAATAATGATATTAATATAGCAGCTTCAATAACATCAACCGATAGTCTAATGTCATCATCATCGAATAATTTAATTGAAACAAATAATAATAGTACTAGTGGTACAAATGATTTATCAAATGTTATAGATGTCAAATAGAAAAATAATTTCAATCAAGGTACATCAGTTTCATACCTATACACTTATATATTTTATTATATAGTATGGGTATATAATCAAAATTGGAATACATAATATGTATATATACATATAATATGACTACACCATTATATTAAATAATAATAGGTGCTATTGGAATGGCTATTATTTCAATAAAATAACTAAAAATTTTTGTTTTTCTAAAAGAAAATTTTGTGGTCAAATTTAATTTAATTGAAATAACGTTATTAAATTAATTGAAATTATAAATTCAAAATAATAAAAAAAAGAAAGCTAAATATATTGTTAAAAACGAAAACATTGTATAGAAACAAAAATTTTAGTAACATTTACTTACTTTTTTTTTTGTTTTTTAATTTTATTTTGTCAATTTATTTTAAGATTGTACTTGCTGTTAAGATGATTTCTAAATTATATCAAAAAATAAATTATTAATAAATATAAAAAAATTATAAAGAAATAAAAAAATTATTATCAGAAGGTTGGTATGCCAACAATAAATATTATGTATGTAGAACATATATAAAATATATAGTATAAAACATATACATATGCATATACATAAGTATGATTAAATTCAAAGTGTAAATTATTTATGGAAAAAACAAAAGGAAAGAGAAAAAAAAACAAAATGAAAAAAAAAAAACTATATAAGAGAAAATTTCGGAGCCAAAAATTAAAAAAGAAAAATAAAAAAAAATTAAAAATTGAAAATAATTAAATTCAATATTAAAAAACAAAAAATATTTAAAAAATATAAAAAAAAAAGGTAAAAAATTAATTTAAAAAATTATAATTTAATGTAAGGTCTCAAAAGACGCAATATTTTAAATTAAAATGTTTGTAAAATACAATTTATATATATATTAGTACGTGTATTTATGTATATACATACTATATATTTAGTACAGTAAAAACAAGGAAAAAAAATTTAATTTATTAAAAAACAAATAAAAAATTAACAAAAAATTATTATTTTGTCATGGTTTTTCTTTTAATCTTAATGAATTCTTAGGAAAAAAAAACAACTCATTTTTTTTTTATTATTAAAATGTGGATTATAATTTTTATAATATATAAATTTATATAAGTTAATAAAAAAAGAAAAAACACAGCAAAAGAAAGTAAAACAATTATTCTATATAAAATTGAAAATCTGGAAAACTTTCCATGAGGCTAGTTCAAATAGAAATTGCTGTAAGAATGAAAAATATATTTTATTTTAGTAAAAGAAAAGAACATGGAAAAAAAATTATCAAGGAAAACTGTAGTTAGACATGTTTAATTTGCAAATTAAATTGCAGCCTTTTAGGCTTTTATACATAATCAGTGAGTGAACTGTTAGCGCCAATTGAAATCAGATTTAAGTACTGCGTAATATACACAATAAAAATGGTTTAATTTAGTATTCTTTCCTAAAATTCCGAAATCATATTAGTTCGACCATCTAAAAATTTATTTTAAAATAAACATTATTGCATTAGAATGTTTTTCAGTTTTAAATAATTAAAATTTTTTATCGAAATTGCTAAATCAAATATTGTTCCTACAAATTAAATATATGTGGTTTAAAAATCATTAATTAATAATTATAATTTTTATAGCATCATTTTAAAACTACATTATGTTTATACAAATTTATTGGAACCATAATAATTGAACTATTTTTCTTCATACAGCCGTATTAAATTGTCGTAAATGTTATAGAGAAATATAGAGTATTTCTGCTCTTTACGTTTTAACAGTTAAATTTAAAATTATTTAAATGTTTAAATTATATAAAAAAATTTTATGCTTAGAAGGTTTAAAGCTAAAAACCTAAATTATTTCAAAATGTCAAAAATTTCTGAGTCTGCAGTTTACTACACTTGAAAATTTTATAGTCTTTCTAAACACACATATTGTTTACAATTTCAAACATCCAAATTAAACCGTACAAAAACTTTGGTATCCTTTAGAAATTTTCTCACAAATTTAAAATGTTATTAATAACACAGTTGAAATCATTAATTATTGCTAATTTCTGCTCCTCTGATATATGTGGAAGCTGTCTTTTATTACTTTTATAAAAAGTTTTCTTTTTCTTAAATCCAATAAACACAAATTATGGTGATTACACCAACTCATGACCTTAATATAACAAGAAACTAAAAATGTGAAAATTTTAATCTTATATTGGAATAGAACAACCTTAATGCAATAAATTCTATAACATAAGTTTGGGAGTTTTCCTTGATATAATTAACAAACAGAAGCAAGAATGATGTTCTTAAGCGCAATATTTTTTTTTATTTTATATTTTAAGTAAACTCAAAGATTATACACAAATTTAATATTTAAATAAAATCAAATCTTTTGAACTTATTAGAAAATACAAGAAAAAATTCTTTAGAAAATTATTCTATTCCAAATTGATTAATTGACTAGTTTTTTTCCAATTACTATTTTATATTTTTATTAATTATAATTTTCATTTTATATTTATAGAAGGAGAGAAAAAGTTTATGCAATAAAAATATTCGTTAAACGAATATTTTTTTTTTTTATTAATTTTTTATTAATAAATTAATACAAAATGGCACTTACTTACTTAAATAACGAATTTTGAAATGAAATAAAATATTTTACCAATTGAATAAAATTTTAATAATTATATTTTAATTTTTAGTGAATTATTATTTGGAAGATTAAGTTTGAACAAAAAAAAAAAGACATTTTTTTAAGAATTTATTATCTTTAGTAAGTAATTTAATGATAAATCTATAGTCCCTTACCACAAATTTCAATATGATTCCAAATTATTTAGATAAAAAATTAAATAATATTTCAAAAGGTACTACTTATTGTTAAATTATTTAAATGTGTCTAACAGTGTATGATTAATTTCTACGCGATAGACATACCAACATTTCAATATTTAACTATTTTATAATGGTTAATATTTTATACAAAATGACTGCTTATTTGATCTAATTGACCAACAAAAAAAAATTCCCTATTTCGATTGGCAAAATGTTATATTATAAAATTAATAAGTTTAATATAAAAAAAATTAACGAAATATATAATTAAATCTCAAACTTTATATTTATAAGTTTTTTTTTCTTATTTTTCATAATCCTAAAACAATGAGAAATAATACTCCTTTGAGTGCCATTAGTTATTAGGGATTCTTTTAGGTGCAATCTATTTTTCTTAATTATTAATAATTATAATTTTCTTTATTATTATTATATTTTTTTTTGTTTTTTTTTTTTTAATTAAAAATATTATAATTTAAATTCTCAAAAAAAAAATATTTAGACTTACATACGATATACATATATATTATATAGTTCAATATATTTAGTAACAATAACTTTTATTTAGTTTAAAATTTTTAAAAATTTTAATATTTAAAAAAAATTGTATGAAAAGTGTAATAAAATATATAATATATATATATGCATATTATATATAAATAGTGTATGTAGAAAAATATGTTGATATAATACATAAATGAATTAGTATATGTATATATATATACTCAGAATTAAACATGCGTATATGTACATTTATGTTTATATAAAATATTATATATACATATATATATGTATAACATTATATCCTTTCTGTTTTTAAAAATTTTTGAACTGTTATATTATATGAAAAAATGAAAAAAAAAACTCAAAAAATAAAAAAAACAAAAAACAAAGAAAAAAATAAAGAAACCATTAAAATACGAAATTGTATGAAATAAAATGAAAGTTTTCTTAAAAAAAAAAATTGCTTTATATTTTTTATTTATTTTTAAATTTATTAGAAAGTTCCTTTCTATAAAATCCCGAATAAAATGAAACCTTCCTGTATTATCATTAATCTGGTTTTCTTTAATTCACTAGCCATTTTAGTGTTACCCTTTAGCGTCTAATATTTGTTAGATAATTGTAGGTCTGCAATAAATATAATTGCTAATCAAATAGCATTTATTCTGATTTAGCTAAGACTTCCTGAATTAGTTCATGTTCTCACAATGATTACGTTCAATTTGAAAGCGTGCAGTATCGTTAGTTACTCGAAAGTAGTAGGGTTACTACGTTGATTGGTCATATAATTAATATTTATTTTCCATCTACTGGAATAAATGTTCAAAATTATTTTTTATTTAATACATAGATATGCTGATGTAGTTTGAAGCCTTATATATTAAAATTTAAATTTTAAAATATCTTATAATTATTAAGATTTAAATGCAATATTTGGTCCACAATTTAAAATTTTGCAAAACAAAAATAATTAGTGCAAATATTTGATTATTAATTTATGAAAATAGGTTTTAACTAAATCATAAATATATTTAAAACTTGTTTAACTCTAACATTATTTAATCGTAATTAATCTTGCTCGATGTCAATAGTATGTTGGATTTATTAAACATAAATTTCAATATTTTAAAGCACTGTTTATGTTTGCAGTGCAATATATAAAAGGGTGTTTTTAATAATGCAATATGTTTTCGCATAATTTAAAAGCTTCCGAATTTATTTTTTTTAACTACAAAATAGTTAACGAAGCAGTTA